AATACAATCGTAAGCCTCCTGACCAACCCCTCGTGCTTACGGAAACACCAAGTAAACCTTTTGAAATCATTCATATTGACACTTTCATAATAGGCAAACAAAAATTCCTCACGTTATTAGATAAATTTTCCAAAATTGCTCAAGCACTCCCCTATTCAGGAAACGCAGTTTCGTGCGCAGATCAATTAATTCACTTTTTCCAATTTTTCGGTGTACCAAGACAAATTATTTCTGATAATGGATCGGAATTTAAAAACGAAGTAGTCAATGGACTTCTTAAAGCCCACAATATAAAAATACATTTTACCACCCCCTATCACCACGAATCTAATTCACCAGTCGAAAGACTACATTCTACTCTAATCGAACATATTCGAATATTGCGAGAATCAGACCCAGATTCCGATGTCACCAAACTTATGCCATACGCTATTATTGCTTACAACAGAACTATTCATTCTAGTACTAATTTTAGTCCCTACGAACTCGTATTAGGACACACACATTCTAGAGACCCTATGAACTTAGTATCATCCCACGTATTTACTGAATATCTTAATACCCACAAAAGTAAAACCCAAGTACTTTATAATGAAATTACTAACAAAACCCAACAATAAAAAGAAAAACTAATTAACAAAATAAACGAAGACAAAATCTCACAAAACCTAAAAGTAGGTTGTCAAGTTTATAAAAAATCCGACAATCGAGCGGGAAAATCTAAAAAGAAATTTTTAGGTCCTTTCACTCTCACTCAAATTCTACCTAATAATAAAATTGAGATAGAAAATCCGAAAACAAAACATAAAGAAGTAATTCATATAAATGGAACCAAAATTAAACCCCTTGTTTTAGATGGACATGGATCCTTGGAAACCACGTAAAATACCATAACTTGAATAAAAATCCAGGAATCCTTCCTTTCAAGTTGGGAACTGCCAAAATGATATCCAATTCATGGTCCTTTGCACAAACCTTTAACTTGACTCCCATAATAAACCAATTTGACTCTCTTAAAATACAAGCAAGACGCTTATCTTCCAATATAAGCTCCAAAGACAATTTCTATATTGAATATACGAATTCGCTCGTATCCCTACATACTCTAGAAAATCGCATAGAAAATCTAATCGAACAAATTGTTCAAACAGTAGGAAATTCAAATAGAATTAAGAGAGGATTATTTAATCCTTTGGGCTCATTTATAAAAGTCATTACTGGAAATCTAGACCAAAATGACGCCGAGAAAATCGACGAGAAAATTAAACTATTACAAGAAAATCAGAATAAGCTTAAATCGGACGCAATCAATCAAATCACCTTAATGGACTCTACGATTGATAAATTCGATAAAATGATTTCTAATATAACACATAACGAATTGGTCCTTCGATCCCGAATTTTACAAATTGAACAAGTAATTAAAGACGCTAATCTAACCCAAAACATTCGAGGTTATTTTATAACGTTCATAGTAATTAATCAAATTACTTTAATGTATCAATCAATTTATAGTATTCTTGATAAATTGGAAGTAGCTATAAGTTTTTCCAAACTTAACACCTTACATAACTCGATAGTGAACCCAAACGAACTTTTATCTGAAATTAAAAATGTCGAATCACATTTGAACCCGGATAGGTTACCAATTTCTCCAGTACCTGAAAACATACTGATTTTCGAGAAATTTCTACAAATTAAATGTTTCTTAAAAGATTTTAATGTCATATTTATATTGGAACTCCCACTTGTAGAAGCGGATGTGTATCAATACTTCAATCTACATCCATTACCTATCCCAACAAACCATAATCAAACCTTTTTCGTCAACATCCCACATAAGCCATCCCTAGCACTAAGTGACGTCAAATACTCCTATATGGACCAACGTTGTGAAGAAATCTCGCCTGATGAATACCTATGTCAAGAAGCCCGTACTACCTTTATCGAAAACTACCTTCCATGCGAAGTACAGCTGATTAAATACAGTACAAACATCACATCTTGTCATCCTTTCGAAGTTCAATTGCACGCACCGCAAATAACCAAAATTATTGATGGAAAATGGCTCGTTACAGTTCCTATTCCACTTAAAAGTTCAACGAACTGTCAAAACCTAAAAGAAACTATACCCATCTTCGGATCCTACCTACTAGAAGTGCCCGTTGATTGTAAAGCCAAAATACAATCAACCACCCTCGAGAGCTTCAAGCCAAGTCGACTCTCTTTTAAAGAAGTCAATTTACCGATATTGGACCTATCATTGATTAACCATAACCAATCAATGCCCTACGACCTACCTTCATTCGATTTGAACATCATTAACGTCAAGACATCCAAAGACATAAAAGAAAAACTTCATGAACAAAAAAAGAAACTTGAAGAAATGTCAACCACGACGATTTATTCAAATCGCCTCAGTCTCTGGACAATATTATTATACTTAATCATTATATTAATTTTAATTTACTTTTTCAGCTTATTGTGCATTAAGAAAATTCGAAAGTTCCCAAAAAGTGAAAGTGATGAAGTTGAAGGCATTTTTTAATTATTTTTGTATTTTTGTGAAATCACGTTTTTTATTTTTCAGTACGTGCTTTCAACTTACACGGGAGGAGTTACATTCTCATAAACTTAAGAATTCAGCAGTTTGTTACTTTGTTTTCAGAACAAGTCCGACCGTTGCATTTCTTGGGAACAGCTTTGTCAGCAAAGCTAATAATTATAAATATTAATTTTACTTAGGTTTAAGTCAGTTGTATTGTAACCACCATTAAAAATAATTTTTTTTAAAAACTAACTCTCAAAATTCGAGTTGTTAACTACACTTGATTTTTTTTACAATCGCATTTGATAAAAAATAGTTCAGGTTCAAAAAAACCAGTAGTAAAAGCAAGCGCTTTTACTACTTTGCCACTTTAGAGCGACAAAGTGAAGGATTTTGACGTAGCTTGACGCTCTAAAGCGGCAAAGTGGAGGTCATCAGGAAACGTCTACTTTGCTAGCACAAATCTAATCGACAAAGTCTACTTTCTAGGCCGATTGTAGAAAAAAAAACATTTTGTCACTTTTCAAACAGGTAACAGGTGTCAAAAAAAAACATCATTTCGATTTTACGCTTTCACTCCGAGAAAATAATTTCACCGGATTAGTGATGTAATGTATCATTTCTTGGACTGAAAACGTAATGGAGTACATTTTATTAAAGTTACAATAATCTCTAGGTTTGCTATTTAATTTTTTTGCGAATTCTGGAGCATTAAAATGGCCGCAACGCCTAAACTAAAAATAGCTAGCAAAAAAGGCATAAGGCAAAGTTGATCAGAATGTTATTATCTACAAGTTTTGTTAAGGTCATTTTGTCGAAAAAAAATAAATAAGAAAAAGGCCAATAGGGCCGAACGCACACGGCTTTCGAGTGTGATTTTTTGGCTCAATGCTCAGGACACAGTCTCCAATCAGCCCTGAAAAAATCAGCCTGCCTTCGCAAAATTTTTTGAAAAACTCATAAATTTCTTGGGCTATCATTCGTTTTTGTTATTTCTATACATTTACCTGTGTCAACATTTTTGGGATTTATTCAAATTTTATAGATAAATATTAAGAGCTTGAAGGTTATATTTTCATTATTTAAGTAAACTCAGAAAAAATAATCTTTTTTTAAGAATATTTTTGTAAACGTTCCTTGTTCTACATATGTTTTTCTATATAAGAGGAAAGGCCTTCTCTGTTTTAAATAATTTACTTCAGATAAATGACTACAATACACCTTAATTAATTTCAATTTTCTCAATTCGATTCTTTCTGTTTTATACAAATGTTCTGAGCTATCTGAAGTGAAGTCAACAATTATCACAACTCAGAGAATTTCCTTTGTTTCTTTTGTATATTTCTCCTATTTTTCGTCTCAGTTTTTCTCTTTACCTGTCTATTCCCAGCTCTTAAATCTCAATTTTCTTCTTAATTTCTCTAGAGAAAGAAAATTCAAGATCCAGGAATAGAAAAAATATGTCTACTGGGTACTTGTCTAGCAATACCTTCTCAACCTCGATTTTTATTGATATTTTCTTGGTAGCTGGAATGGAAAAAATTATGTCATCTTGTCCAACACTCTCATCTAAATTTTTATAGAATTTCCTGTCTTCTTTTCTCTTTTTGTCAAGAATAATTCAAATTATGTATTCTACTTTATTTCCTTCCTTTTTTTATTCATTGAATTTCGTTAAAATATATGGTGATTCAAGTGTCAAGAATAATTCAAATTTTGTATCCTACTTTACTTCCTTCTTTCTCCATTCATTGAATTTCGTATTCGTTCTCTCTTACTCTTTCAATTCGCCAGGCAAAAAAAATATCAATTCAATTTTTGTCCATTCCAGGCTTTTGAATTTGTACTTTTTTCCTGAATTTCTCTTGATAAGCAAAATTCAAAATCCAGGAGTAGAAAAATGTATGTCCACCTAAGGCCAATTTATTTACCTTCTGATAAACTATCAGGTATAAAAACAATCTATAATCACATTATCCGGCCAGTTATCCACCGACCAATATAAGTATAAAACAGTAAGTTTATCTTACAGATAGTTACGTTACCAGCCAGTTTATCTGAAGATGGATGATGGATAAACCAGGCCTAACAATTTTTTCTCAATTTTTATTAAATTTTTTCAAAAACAAATTAACTCCAGTAAATAATCTTCCATACAATTAAAAGATTAAATGGCAAAATTTTTGAAATAAATGCTACATTGCCACTAGATATTCACAAGAAAATTTCATATATCAAGATGTTATTGAGTGTCTTTGGGATTTCAATCTTATCACGAATAAAATCCATGATTCTTCTCGTTAAGTGCCTTGTGATCTCAATAATAATTGTGTTGATAAGAAATTATGCTCAAAATCCCTTTAATTCAAAAATCACAACCAATAAACATTGACCTTGCCCAAGAATTTTTAAAATACCTTCAAGTTTATAAATAATAAGTATAGGTACATACCCTGTGAGCATTTTTTCGAAGGCAAAGTCTCCTCCTTAGGCCACAAGCAAGCAGAAATTACTTATATTTTTTTAAAACTCCTAAAATAACAGCACAAGACTAGACAAAAAAACAAGTAAAACCCAACAAAAAAAAAAATCACAAAAATGTAGAAGGCACCACTCGGCAGTGAGATTCGGACGCGAATGAACCCATGGACTTTGATAAAGTGCCAAATTGTTGATAAAAACCGATTTTATTGTATTTGATTGTTTATTAAACTGATAAACTCCTGGTCGAGTGCATACTAATATGAGTGAATTTTTGCTACTTTGCTCGAATGTCGATCGGTTGATTTGTAATTATTAAGAGTACCAGTTTTCAATTTTTTTTTCAGTTGAATGTTTAATTAAAACTGAAGATAGGTAGTTTTTTACTTTGAAATTGTCCATAGAATACCTACTTTTTCAGCTTCCATTTCCGATATTTGTTTTCCTTCTTTAGTTTTTCAATTTTCATTCATTTTGCGTAATAATTAATTCTCGTTCCTCTCAATTTTCATTAAATTTTGTCTATGTATTTTTAATTTTTTGTCTATTCCAGGCTCTTGAATTTCTCAGATTTGCATCATTGGAACTTCTTCTTAGTTCCCTAAAATTGTCCTTTTTTTAGGGAATCATCGTTTACCTATATTAAGTATTTGGAGTTCAAAATAAATATTTTTGTCATAGGACTCTTAATGCTTGTCTTATACAATAAAAATTACACGCCTTTTACTTTTTTCTCTCTAGATCATGCATAATTACTAGGATTTTTTTGTTTGCAATTTTCCAAGGACTCGGTAATGACAGTGAAAATTGAAAATATAGTATTTTGAGTTTGGTACTTTTGCGATAGGTACCAATCAAAATTTGCTTTCGTGTGTAATAGATAGAAATTACAGGGAGACATTTCCCACGATCAAATAATAATATGTACTTATTGATGTAGTAGCGTAATAAAAGAGTAGATACTTAGAGCGGAATGGAAAAGTTCCAATCCAGATATTTTTGTAATTATAACTAGATTAATTTATTTATCTTGCCTATTGTTTTAGCAATTGAGAAATTGATAATAGGACATTAAATAGTGGTATGTATTTCTATTGATAAAATATAGTAAATTAATCAAACATTTTGTGTGTAAAAATAATGATCTCTCACATAATTAATTCGGCTTTTATCATGTCAAATGATAAGACAAAGAAATTCATTACTCACTAGATTGGACAATACTTTTGACACCTATACAAGTTGAGAAAATTAGCATTATGTAAAGTCTTCTAATAACCATTAAATTGCAGCTTATCTACAAGTGTTTCAGGAAACAGAATTATTGACTTTTGTCTTGCCACTTTGGGATTAAAGATTTTCCCTTATCGTTACTTTGTGAGATTAAAAATAAAAATGTCAAAGTCTAAACAAAATATCGTTTTTTAAAAAAAGATAAAATAGGGTGAAGTAATGAGATTTTTTCATGGTAAATATGTATGTTTGAACCCAGACAGGGCCGTATCTAGGAGGGGGTTTTGGGGGTTCAAACCCCCCCCCAAAAAATAATAAAATTCAAAAAATTTAACTTAAAAACAAACAACACTTATTAAATACTTATTTTTTTTTTTTATTACTAGTGTAACAATAATTTTTTTTTGCCACTTTGTCTAACCCCCCCCAAAATTTTGGTCTAGATACGGCCCTGCCAGAGAATGAATAGAGACCATTAACTAGAAATTCCAAAATGTATAGTCAAAATGGGAATAAAGTCAATGGATTTTGAAGTTTTATTGAAAGAAACTGAAAATCCTGATTTTCGAAATATTTAGTGATCGTGTAGACACTTACTTATTCCAAACTTTTTATGGAACATACTACATAATTTTCTATTATTAAAACAAAATTCTCCCATTTCAATACAGTTTCAGATAACAGAATAGCCTAATTCTATTTCTAGTAAAAGAATATTTATTCCACCACTTGTTATGGAATGGACTCTAAAACTCATAGTTCGAAAAGAGTTTTGTAGGCTCAGTAGTAGGCTGAATAAGAAAGTAAGAGCCATCGATATAAGAAATCTAATAAGCAAAACAGAGAAAGAGATAAAGTTGGATAAAAAAAGCGTCACATATTTACATTATTCTCGGCGCCGGATTTTCCATCAATCAATGAAAAGTCTGAAATAATAAAAGAAAGACAATGCTATAAGCGATTCATAGGAAAAGAAAGAGATGAAATAAAAATAAAACGAGCATATTATTGTGACAAAATTTTTTGACTCTTTTTTCGCGCTTCTTGTAATTTTTGTAGGTATTACTAATTCTAATTCAATTATCAAAACTATTATCCTTGTCTTTCTTCAATTTCTGCCGAGTAAGAGAGAGAGAGAGAGAGAAAAAAAAAGCTGGATCAGCTCAGAATCACTTCAGAATTGATGCCTCAAATTATAAAAAAAAAATCAAATTTTTGTGTCTTACCAATCAAGCACACAAAATAACAAGTGAGAGACAACGATGTAAAAAATTCAATGAGTAAGAAAGAGACGGATGTAGAATAGGATCAAGTATAGTGATATAAATTTGGATTGAGTAATAAGCAGCCTAGTAATTTTTGTATCTTACCAATCACGATTATGGAATAGTCAAGTATAAGAAATTCAATGGGTAGGAAAGGGACAAAGATAAAATGAGAACACACATTTTGGCTATTTGTATTTGGCAAATGTTTGGGTAGAACAAAGACTTAAAGGATTCAATGATTAAGAAAGAGACAAATATAAAGTAGGACAAAAAAAACTGACACGAATTTTTATGATGAAGTGGTCTTGTATCTCACCAATTAAACGCCTGGAATAGAGAGAAATGGTTCACAAAATTCAATGGTTAAGAAAGGGACAGAGAAAAAATGGGACCTATTACACAAATTTTAGCTATTTGCGTCGGACAAATCAGAAGTTCAGTAGAAGACAAATATATAGATGATTCAATGATTAAGAAAGAAACAAATATAGAGTAGGATAGAAAAAAGTAACCTGAATTATGATTATTCTCGGCGCTTGAGTGGTCTTGTAACTGACCCAATGACGTAGAGAGGAGGGGGAACATGGGGATCAATCCCCCTATGAGTGTACTAAAATTATACAAAAATCGTATCAAAGGTTCTTCATCCACATACATATTTATTATTTATTCGTATATACATGGAATTAAATAATTACTTTCATTAAATTTCCCCCCCCCCCCCCCCCCCAGCGTGAACAGCTATCTACGCCACTGAACTGACCAATCAAGTGTCTAGAATAGAAAGAAAGGCTATACGAAATTCAATGGGTAAAGGAAGGGACAGAAATTAAATGACAACAAAAGGATAACAAAAAAAAGTGACACAAATTTTTATTATTCCCGGCGCTTGAGTGGTCTTGCATCTGACCAATCAAGTGTCTGGAATAGAGAGAAATGGTATGCAAAATTCAATAGGTAAGAAAGGGATAGAGATAAAATGGGAACAAAAATGTGGCACAAATGTTGGCTATTTGTGTCTGACAAATCAAGAGTTTTGTAGGAGACAAAGATATAAAGGATTCAATGATTAAGAAAGAGACAAATATAATGTAGGACAAAAAAAGTGACACAAATTTTGATTATTCTTGCCGCATGAGCGGTCTTGTATCTGACCAATCAAGTGTCTAGAATAGAGAGAAATGATATGGAAAATTCAATGGCTAAGAAAGGGACAGAGATAAAATTAAAACAAAAATTTAGCTATTTATGTTTGACGAACCAAGAGCTTAGTAGGAGACAAAAGTATAAAGGGTCCAATGATTAAGAAAGAGACAAATATAAAGTAGAAATTGAAAAAAAGTTAAACAAATTTTGATTATCACCGGCGCTTGAGTGGTCTTGAATCTGACCAATCAAGTGTCTGGAATAGAGAGAAATAGCATGCAAAATTCAATGAGTAAGAAAGGGAGATAAATAAAATAGAACAAAAATATTACAGACATTTCTGGCTATTTGTGTCTGACAAATCAAGAGCTTTGTAGGAGACAAAGATATAAATGATTCAATGATTAAGAAAGAGACAAATATAATGTAGGACAAAAAAAGTGACACAAATTTTGATTATTCTTGGCGCATGAGCGGTCTAGTATCTGACCAATTAAGTGTCTGGAATAGAGAGAAATGATATGCAAAATTCAATGGCTAAGAAAAGGACAGAGATAAAATTAGAACAAAAATTTTATACAAATTTTAACTATTTATGTTTGACGAACCAAGAGCTTAATAGGAGACAAAAGTATAAAAGGTCTAATGATTAAGAAAGAGACAAATATAAAGTAGAAAAAGAAAAAAAGTTAAATAAATTTTGATTATCACCGGCGCTTGAGTGGTCTCTTGTATCTGACCAATCAAATGTCTGGAATAGAGAGAAATGGTATGCAAAATTCAATGGTTAAGCTAAGAAAAGGACAGAGATAAAATGGGAACAAAAATATTACACAAATTTTAACTGTTTGTGTCTGAGGAACCAAGAGCTTAGTAGAAGACAAAAGTATAAAGGGTTCAATAATTAAGAAAGAGACAAACATAAAGTAAAATTTTTAAAAAAAGTTACACAAATTTTGATTATTTCCGGCGCTTGAGTGGTGTTTTATCTGACCAATCAAGTGCCTGGAATAGAGAGAAATGGTATGCAAAATTCAATGGGTAAGAAAGGGACAGAGATAAAATGGGAACAAAAATATTACACAAGTTTTAGCTATTTGAGTCTGACGAACCAAGAGCTTAGTAGGAGAAAAAAGCAGTGGCGCACCCAGAAAATATATCTAGGGGGGTCTATATAGGTTGTGGCTTGTGACTGAAAATCTAAAGAAAAATTTGAGGTGTCAGGGTGCCACGCCTTGATGTTGCTACATTTTTTATATATAAAAATACAGTTTCAGAGGGGCGGCCTGGGGGAGGCCCTGGCCCGATAGCCCCCCCCCCCTGGGTGCGCCACTGGACAAAAGTATAACGGGTTCGATGATTAAGAAAGAGACAAACATAAAGTAGAAATTAAAAAAAAGTTACACAAATTTTGATTATTCCCGGCGCTTGAATGGTCTAGTATCTGACCAAACAAGTATCTGGAATAGACAGAAATGGTATGCAAAATTCAATGGGTAAGAAAGAGTAGAGATAAAATGAGAACAAAAATATTACACAAATTTTAGCTATTTGTGTCTGACGAACCAAGACCTTAGTAGG